TATCTTACGGTATCTTATGTAGGGGTACGTGCAAAACCTTTTGTTTTGAGGGCCCCGGGGATACCTATCTTACGCTATCCGACGGTGGCCCTAACTACCACCCTGAACGTAAATAGATTGCACAAGTGTGGTACTGACCACACACCGTTTGCACAAGTGCGGCACTGAACACAAACAGTTTGCACATGTGTGGCACTGAACACAAACATTTGCACAAGTGTGCCTCTGTGTATTGTTTGTTTTTGAGCACATAGTCTGAACATTCTGGCTTGTGCCAGTCTGCATGCACATCAATTTGTTCGACCCAAAACAGGTGTTCAAAAACAAACACAAGTACATACATCATTTCGTGCAGTTGGGTCCTGTTGCACGTTCAATTTACACGCGACAGCCCAGCCCTAATCAAGGCTGAAAAAAGCTATAGCGCCACATCGCCATCAGGCGTGTGAGATGTTCTCACGACGCACACGCTGACGTCGGGATTGAATATAATCCTCTAGCCAGCAAAAAACTTCTTCCAACTTGGCATCCTCCCAAAGGTCGGGATGGAAGTTGACTGCCGGATCAGTTGTCCTGTGCCCAGCCTTTTGCGGCACATAGTGGGCCCAGTTATCCCTCACCTGAGGCGGTCACACTCAAACACTTCACTGCGTGCACAACAAAACAGGAAACCCCAACACACACACACACACACACGCGCGCGCGAAGTTGGTCAACCATCAATACGGCGCAAACAACACAACAGGAACCCATAACACATACACGTACGAGTTGGTCAAACATCAAATATATATTCGATCGTATAGATCAATTGAACAAGTCATATATGGCTATAATTTTAATGGATATGTATATGGCTTTGGATATGAGATCCCAACGGCGAGAGATGGCAGTGAAAACCACAATAAAATGTGGACTGGCCTTCTGCAAGGACTTGTTGACTCTCATCGAGGAGATCCGCATCGAGCTTAACTATTGGTCACGTGAAACAGTACCACAGTCAAGGGCGCTGCAAACTCCTTTGGGTGGTGAAGACAACCTACCAGACCAAGGAGCTCATGAATCAGAGTCTTTCGAGCACCGTCAACCCAAAAGACATATCGATTATTGGGTGGCCAGTTCTGATGGACACTGCGGAGCTATCGACAACCGACGACCACATGCTACTACAACATGCAGTTGAGGTGCTGCACGTGCGAACTTCATGCTATATACTTGACTTCCTTTCAAGTGCATGCTTCCTTTGAATCTCCGCTGTCCTTTCTTGTCGACATAGGCGACCGTCAAATTGGATTTGGCATATTTTGCCCGAAGCAGCTTCCTGTAGAAAACGTGTTTCAGGTTTATATGAATTATGCTATAGCGCTAGCTAGCTAGCTATATATAATTTACAACTGGCAATACAATGAGCTGCATTCCTCTTCAAGTGAAGAATGAAGGGATGATTT